AACCTTTTATTTTGAAGCATTGTAATTGTAAACTCACAAGGGATAGCAGACATAGTACCAGGAACCCAAGTACCTGCCCCAGATTTCCCCAATGGTGCCGTCTTATATAGCTGTAGTACAATATCACAACCAGGACCTTGACGTTGGTAAACTACTGTTAGCTAGACTGCAGAAGTTGCTCAGTTTCCACCGTGTTAACCTCAGCTGTAGCTTGTGTAACCGCCACCACAGTAAAGATACAGAATCGCCCCATCCCCACAAAATAACTCCCACCTGCTACCTCTCTTTTTCCCATCCCCTATCTCCTTCCCATTCAGAAGGATCTTTTCTCCACCTTGGTGGTTTTCTCATTTTGAGATGCTGTCTGAATGAAATCATAACTGGATGTAACATTTTGCGATTGACTTTTATTTTTCCACTAGGCGTAATGTGTACCGAGGTCCACCCTGGTTATTGCCTGTATCAGCAGTTCATTCCTTTTTACTGCCGACCAGCCTTCGATTGTACCAGAGCTTGTTCAATGATTTCTCCACTGAGGGGCATTTGGGTCATTTTCAGTCCGCTATGATGAATAAATCTGCTGTGAACATTAGTGTACAGGCTTTTGTGTGAACATAAGTTTCCATTTCTTCCGGCTAAAGTCCCAAGAGTGTGATTGCTGGTCATGTGCTAAGTGCATGTTTAGTTTTATCCATCTTTCTAAATTATGTATTACAAATTTCAGACTATGAGACGTGGATTTGGAAGTGGTTCCAGGACAGGGAATCATACAAGCAAAAGAGCAGGTCACTTACCACACGTGCGGTAGCAAATTAAACATCTTGCCCTAACTGGGAAAGCACAGCAAATTTAAGAGGAGAGATTAATGAGACAGTTAATATATGTGCTCTGAAATACCACTGGTAGCTGGCCAAGAGTTTAGGCTGAGTCCTTGAGGAATCCCAATTTGAGTAAAATGTTTAATCATGTCTTTTTAGCAAAAAAAGTTTACTCCCATGATAACTTAGGGTTAAGTGTCTAATTGCTCCTATTTGCATAAGCTTGAATTCAGTTGAAACATTATGGCAATGAGCATATTGATTTAGTAAATATTTATTTCCTTTTGGGAGGCAGAAATGCTTTGAAGATCACATGGTACATTACTTTATTGCTCCTAGAAATAGCCCAGGAAGCAGCCTGCCTCTCTGGGGAATGGCTGAGGTGAACCATGGGTGTAGGCAGAGGGACCGGCCTCTTGGGCATGTGGCCTTAGTTTGGAGGGCTCTGTGCTTAGTTTAACTCTTTTGTGATTGTCTTGATAGTCTTCATTTTCCAGCCAGGGGCCTGCATTTTCATTTGGAGCCCACAAATTATGTTGCTGGTCCTGGTCGACAGCAGTCCACAGCAAGCAAAGCTGCTGGCTTGGATGTAAGCTGAGACCCGTCAC